GGCTCTCCCTGGTGCCAGGCCAGGCTCTGGGGACCTGAGAGGCAGGATGCCCTTGCAGCTGGGCTGGCGGGACACCCACCCAGGGGCGGCAGCCCCACAGGAATTTGCCCTGGAGAAAAGGCAGGAGGGTGGGGAGGGGCAAGGGGCTCTGGCTGGCAGGAAACCAAGAATGTTCTGGGAGGATCAGTGACTGCTGGGAGATGGAATGCCCTGGGATTCCCAGGGCTGAGCCGGGATGGTGACGTGTCCAGGGCGGGGCCTAAAGTGTGGGGAGGTCACTGGGGTGAGAGGCTAAGAGGCTGACCTTTGGAGGGAAGAACAAAAGTTGGGTCTGGTGAGTAAGAACAGGGGCCGGTGGGGAGGGGGTGACTGCCAGTGGGGGGGACAGGCCAGGAGGCAGAAGCCAGGGCCCTTCATGGGCCAACGAAGGACCACGAGTGGGCGTGCAGGGCTGGGCAGAAGGCAGAGCCAGTGCAGGAAAGGGGCTCCTCCACACCCCAGCCCCGGGCAGTCACTAGCCGGGTGACCTCAGGGGCCGCCCTGCACCTCCAGGGAGAGGGGGGACCAGGGTCTCAGGCCTCTAGTAGCTCCCTCGCACTCACAACAGGCAGCCATGGGCCCGGAGCCTCGCCACCTCCAGCCTCCTCTAGGCCCCTCCTGGGGCTCAGCTGCGGCCCTGGCATGACCACGGGCACCGGCCCAGCCCCTCACCTAGTCCCTGGGCTCAAGCCAGGAGCGGAGCAGACTTGGGGGTGCCTGGTACGCCCCAGAAGGTCTCCCAACTCCTGCACCAGACACCCCCAGCTGCATGGGGACCCCCAGCACCTCTTCTCCTGCTTGGCAACTCTCAGCCACCCTCCGGCTAGGGCCACACGAGGCGCTGCCCCATGATTCCAGCAAGTTCCCGCAGGCAGGTGCCCGGGCACCCGCAGGCAGGAGGGACAGGCTAAGTCACCCACAAGCCCAGGAAGGGACCAAGGGCCAAGGCGGCCCCGTGTGTCCAACACCAACCCTGGCGGCCGAGACGGAAACCCCCAGGCCCATCACAGCTCACTCCGGGGAGGCGTTCGGGCCAGGACAGGCTCTGGATGGAACCACGTGTAAGCCCGAGCCTGACCCGTCCGAGGATCTGGAACGAAGCCTGTGTATACAGTTAGGTGTCCCCACATTCAACAGAGCGGCCAGCTCAGAACCAGCTCTGTCCAGGGTTTGTCAGGAGAGCTGTGCCCTGCCCTGCACCTCCCCGGGTGCACCCTCCCTCCCTGCGGGTGCCATGGTCAGACTCCGAGCCCTTGTCACAGGAGGGTCCTACCTGGCCCAGGTGAACTGGCCGCAAGGAGAACCTCACAGCACATCCATCCCACTCAGGACCCAACGAAAGCTGTTGGTGGAGGACCCCCACCCCACCCCCACCCCCCCCTTCCCCGCGGCAGAGGTGAGCCCTGGGCCCAGAGGAACCTCCCGCCTGGCGTGTGAGTGGGTGCAGAGCAGCTCCACAGGCTCCAGGCAAAACCCCGGCAGGAGCTCTCCCTGAGCTGCCCTTGCCCTTGGGGCAGAGCCAGCGGAACCAGCCGCGTGGAGCTGGAGCCCGCTCTGGCCGGCCATCCCCAGGGCCCCCCCCTACCCCTCCCCAGGGGCCCATTCCCAGACCCCTAAGCCTGGGGCCCGGCAGGGGCCCGGCAGGGACCCAGCCCGGGCTGCAGGCAGCTGATAGCAGTTTGGATCTCGCGGGTCCAGAGGGGTCCGGGGTCATGGAGCCCAAAGCCATAACGCGGTTCGTCTCCAGAGGAAAGGGGGCTGCCCGGACTTCCCCACCCACAGCGGCCACGGGGGCAGGGGGGCGTGACAAGGGTCCCTGCCAAGGGAGGGAGGCGGCCTGGGCGCTGCCCGTTTGGGAGGTGAGGAGAGGCCACAGCTATGCGACCC